AGAGCATTTAGGGCCAAGTACTCCACAGTCGCTTATTCTCTACATCTCGACCAGTTGTGACTCTATATTAACTACCATCCACCACAAAAAGAAGATTCTCTGATGTGGCCTAAGAGCTGCATTAATCTATGACTATAAAGGTAAATATTTAGAAAGCAGTTTGACACTGTAACCATTTAGCAAACTAATACTAATAGGTTCTCCCCTAGGGCTTGTGACCACCCCAGCCACAGGTTCCTGGCTAGGTCTACAGTACCAGGCATGAGTTCCATCCTATGGAACAGGCCTTAAGTTCAGGTGAGAAAACGGTTGGTTACTCCTGTAACTCCCATACCACCATTTCACTGGTGTGTGCCTCTTGCCAGACCAGTCATTGTTGTAGCTCATAGGGTTCACAGCTGAGTAATACTTGATGACTTTTCTCCCTAGCAACCTACATAATACCTTTGGGCACTATAAAAGCTAGCCAGCAGGGAGGAATCTTCCAGGTCAGGATCAGCTTTATTTCTCCATATCCTTTGATCAAAATTTGTGTTACATTCAGCAATAGGGTCTTACTATCAAGCTCTGGTGGGTCTCTCACTGAACATAAAGTTTATCGATTCAGCTAGGCTGGCTGGCCAGCAAGCTCCAGAGACCTGCCTGTCTCTGCCTCCCCAGTGCTGGGATTGTAGGTGCATGCTGCCATGCCCAGCTTTTTGTGGGGCTCTAAAACCAAACCTTCATTCTTGTACAACAGTTTATTGACTAAGCCATCTCCTTAGCCTGATTAGATTATTGTTGGTGTTTAATTTTTTGCAGTTATTTATAAATCCTGGATATTAATCTTCTATCACATGTACAGTTGGCAAAGATTTTTCTCTCATTCTGTAGGTGGCCTCTTGACTCTACTGAGTGTTTTCTTTCACATGAAGACTATATTTAATTTTATGCCATTCTGTTTGTCACCTTGCTCCTATTTCTTGTATTATTGTGGTGATTTTCAGAAAGTCTTTGCCTATAACTTGAAATGTTTTCCTCTAGCAGTTTCAAATCTTTTTAAAATTTTTATTTATTATTTTTATTTTCTGTGTATGAGTGTATTGCTGGCGTATGTATAAGAGTACCTGTGTTGTTCAGGGCCCGTGGAGGTTAGAAGAGGGCATCAGATCCCCTGGAACTGGAGTTATAAATGGTTGTTAACCACAGTGTGGGTGCTGGGAATCAAACCTGGCTCTTGTGCAAGAGTAGCCAGTGCTCTTAACTGCTGAGCCATCTCTCCAGTCCCAGCAGTTTCAAATCTTATATTCAGATCTATCTTATATTCAGATCTTTGATCCTTTGAAATTGTTTTTTCTATAGAATGAGAAATAGGAATCTAGTTCATTCTTCTACCTGTGAATTTGCTGAAGAGGCTGTCCTCCAGTGTCTGCCCTTGACAACTTTATCATGTGAAGTCAAGTGGCTGTCACTGTGTGGGCTTACTTCTAGGTGTTCTGTTCCATTGTGCATTTGTATTTTTGTGCTAGTACCATATTGGTTTTTGTCACTATAGTTCTGTAATATACTTTGAAATCAGGTATTATGATACCTTTAGCATTACTGTTTTTGCTTAAAATTGCTATGACTATTCAGTCTTTTGTACGTCCATATGACTTTTTTTTTTCTATTTGTGTGAAAAACTTCATTGAACTAGGTTTAGGATTTGTTTGTTTGTTTGTTCATTTGTTTGTTTGAGACGGGGTCTCCCTGTAGCCTCCAGCTGGCCTGGAATTCACTATGTAGACCAGGCTGGGCTTCGTCTCACAGAGATCTGCCTGCCTCTGACTCCAGAGTGTTGGGATTAAAAATGTCCACTACCACAACTGGCTAGGTTTAGGATTCTTGATTAATTGTTTTATTAACTTTGAATATATCAGCTAAATGCTTTCTGGCACCTAAGTTTTCTCATGAGAAACCTGCTGATGATCTTGAGAATCTCTGTATATAGCAAGCTACTTTTCCTATTTCAAAATTCTTTGTCTTTTGTTTCTTACTTCTGATAAGTACAATGCTTATTAAGCATATCTTCATTTTGCTGCATAGTGTGCAGCATATTACAGTATTCTGTAGTTACAAGTTATGTGCAGAATATGAAGAAACTCTTAATCAGTGATATATTTCTTTTTATAATTCTACAAGGAAGGATTAGCAAATCAATTTTTACACATAATATCTCACTAAACTTATGCAAAGAGAGTGACAGATACTAATTGTGTTGTTTGATACAAAAATGACAGCATTTCACCTTCTGAAGGCTAAATCCAACATATAAATGTGCCAACATAAACAGAAAGCAACTATGGGAAGCAACCTCTGACCTTTGTGGTGCTGGAAGAAGCTGGGGTAGGGAGAGCAATTCAGGAGCTTTTGTGTTTTCACTTAGATTCAAATTGAGACTTCATTGCTATAAGGAAAGAACGTAGGGAGGCAGATTTCACCAGCATCCTCCACCCAACTGCCTAACTGGAGTGTTCTGGGTTTTAAGACTATAATTCTCTGTACAACCAGCTGTTGCTTCAGGGCCCATTTGTTTTTTAATCTCAGCTGCCTCATCATGAAAAATGGTTAAACATTCATTGTATTCTTAGCACTGGTTTCCAAAAATGGAATTCCAAGGTAATCAGCAAATTTATTTGCTAGTATGTAGTCTACTACTTTCTTTGTGGTCAGACCACATTTGTTCTTGATGTTTTCATTGGCACAATCATGTATTTCCTGTAGCCACTTTTTAACATGATTAAACATCTCATCTGTCTCATACACACCCCTAATACCCTGAGTTCCACTGTAATAGCTGGAGGTGATGATTTGAAGTCTTTCTTGGCCTGCTGCATTCCATACTTGATGCTTTATTGCTTTCCCATATAAATCAACAGTTTCAACTTTGAATTCCACACCAATTGTGCTGGCATAGCTTTCTGCATATATATCATCTATTTGGAATTCATGTTTGTTATGTCACTGCAGATGCTGTGCAGCCATGGTCTCGATTCTATAGTCTGTAATGGCTTTGTCTGATTTTTTGTTTGTTTGTTTTTATTGATTATTTTTATTTTATGTGTATGAGTTTTATGCCTGCATGTGTGTCAGTGTACTCATGTCGTGCAATGCCCGAGAAGGTCAGAAGAGGGTGTCAGATCCCCTGGAACTGGAGTTACAGATGGTTGTTAGCCACGATGTGGGTGCTGGGAATCAAACCTGGGTCCTCTGCAAGAGCAGTCAGTGCTCTGAACTGCTGAGTCATCTCTCCAACCCCGATATGGCTTTGTTTGTAGAGGTAGCATCTTTCCCTGGTCTGACCCCTCAAAACACAGTCAGGGCCAGGAGAGATCATTCAGTTGTTAAAGTGCTTCAATCTGGTTTCAACCTGCTTTCAATCCCCAGAACCTAGTAACAGCAGCAGGGTATGGTAGCATGTTTGTAATCCTAATGCTGGGGATGTGGAGAGAGGTGAATGTCTGGTGCTCACTGGCCAGCCAGCCTAGTCTACTTGGGAAGTTCCAGACCACTGAGAGGCCCTGCTTCAGAAAACAAGGTAGATGGTATCTGAGGAATGACACTCAAGGTTATCTGTCCTCTGGCTTCCACATGCACATGTATGCAGACACACACACACAAAAAACCCCACAAGCAGTAGCCTCTGCCAGTCAGCTGTTGCCTCTATTTCTGTCTTTTAACAATTTGATTATAAAGGAAATTGATTTATCTTTCAGTTTGTACTACTTAGAGTTTCTTAAAGTTCGTAGATATATTTATTGATGCCTTTAATGAAATGAGAGGTTTTCAACCATTCTTTCTTTCAAAGCTGTCTATGTCTCTCCTTCCTTCCGGAGCGTGCTCTCTCTCTCTCTCTCTCTCTCTCTCTCTCTCTCCCTCTCTCCCCCCCTCATGTGTGTGTGTGTTCCTGTTTATGGGCATGCGTATTCCTGTGTATGTATGCACATGTGTTTTGCACTGTGTGAGTATCTGTTTGGAAGCCTGAGGTCAATATTTGGTCTCTTCCTCAGTCACTCTTCACTTTTATTTTCTGAAACAGAATCTCTCATTGAACCTGGAACTCACTGATTAGGCTAGGATGACTCCTGTCTCTGCCTCCACAGTGCTCAGATTGTAGGCGTGACCATCACATCTAGCTGAGGATCCGAACTCCATCCTCATGCTCGTTCTTTACCACCTGAGCCATCACCCCAGCCCCTCCTTCTGGAACTTTGATAGTGTTTATGTTGGTTCACTTGATGGCATCACCCTGGTCTCTTAGGCTCTGTTCTCTTTTCTTTGGTCATTTTTTTCTGTTCCTTAGACAGATAATTTTTATTATCATGTCTTCATCTTCTTTCTTCTTTCTATTCTAATCTGCAGTTTTAAAAACATCATTGATGAATTTTTCATTTTTGTTCATGTATTCTTTTTGCTCTAGATTTTTTTGACTTCTATTTTTGGATTTCTATTTCTCTGATATTTTCATGTTCTCTATCATTTTCTTGACTTTTTGTTTCTTTAAGATGTTGCTTTAAAGCGTTTATAGATCTTTCTCAGGGGCAGTTTGTGTTGGTTTAGTGTCCTTTGGTTTAATTCATACATTTCCTGTCTTTGTATACTTTATGGATTGTTGAAGACTGTACACTGAGATCTGGTAGCATCATATTTCTGGGAATCAGGTTCTTGTGTATATGTTGGTTTTGAGTCTGCTAGTCCTCACTGGCTCACTCCCAAAAAGAAAAAGTAAGAAAAATTAAGAGGTTTGGAGGGAAAAGGAGGCAGTTCTTCAGCTCTCTGGGAGGTCATTTCAACAGGTGGGGAAGTCAGACCACTTCTGTATCTGCAGCTTTGTGATCAGAACCACCAGTCAGAAGATAGATCCCCCATACGTGGAAGGCAGGGTCTTTTTACTCACCCTAACTCACCTAAGTTGGGAAAGATGTGCCACAGCTCCTCCAGAACACAACACAGCTGAATGTCCCAGAGCTAAAGGGTGCAGCATGAATAGGAACTGTTGTCGAGGAGCTAAAATTAATTGGCTACCAACCAAACCTTCCCCAAGAAGTGGTAATCCTTTAATAAACCCCAGAGTTCTGAAATAGTCACACTGGACAGATTCTGCCAATGAAGTTTTTATGTAGATGGTAAAACAGGTTTCAGGGGCATCCTACTTGCCCCTCTTCCCAGAATCCTTTCATAGCTTTGTTTTAATGTTTCTCACATCCAATCTTTACATATTATTGTAATAACTTGTCTTATAGGATTAATATATTAAGTGTAACTCACTTGAAATTGTATTTATTGTATGTATATGTGTGTTTGTATGTATGTGGGTGGATGTGCTATGGCACACATGTACAGGTCAGAGGACAACTGATGGGTGTCAGTTCTCTCCTTCTAACGGTCTTAGGGATTGAATTTAGGTCATCAGCCTTGGTGGCAAGCACCTTTACCTACTGTGCCATCTTGCCTACCCACACTTACTTTATGGAGAAGAAAACATAGTGGCTTGACTATAATCGTACAAATAATAACAGAGCCAGCACTTATTTTATGTCATTTTAATCTAAAGAACAGAGTTGTGATAAAAAGGAAAAAAATAGTTACTATAAAAACTAGAGAAGCAAACCCTCATGATCTCATTCAGATTCTACAGAGTAGTCCTTCAGGATCTGGTATGTGGGGAAGTGGAATATAAGATTAATACCAAATAACAGGGGTGCTAGGGATGTAGCTTAGGTGTCAGAGTGCTTGCCCACCATGCATGTTGCCCTGGGTTGGAATTCCAGCAATGCATAACTGAGCATCTAGATGCATGGCTGTAATCCCAGTGCTCAGGAGGTACAGGAAGAAGGATCAGGAGTTCAAGGTCATCCATAATTACATAGGGAGTCTGAGGACAAATGACAAAGATAAGAGATTGAGTCAGAACTGAAAGCACAAAAAGTAGAATCCTAAGGAGAATTTGGGGCAAGAGTAGCTAAAGAGTATGTGAGGAGACAAAACAGGAATTTGGGAATCTGTGAGATCTCTTTTTAGCCCATCCCAGCAAGGACATCTCTTTTGAAGACTGAATTCTTGGTCTGCTAGTCTTAAAATTAATCACATAGTATTTGAAGCCTGAACTTTTACAGGAACTGTAAGGCATAAGGTCATTTATTTGTGTTCTGCATGAATTACATGACCATATGTGAAAGTTGTTAGAAGAGTGGCCATATTTCAAATATTTCTAAAGCTGATATTTCAGAACATAATTTTAGAAATTTGTACATTGTGACAATGCTGTCTGTCACATGTCCTGGTAGTTACTAGTTACAGTATTAGGTAAAATAGTAAAACACGGATTATTATTATTTTTTATTAGAACCTTTTTAAAGTAGTATATACACATGTAAGAGAGGAGTGCTGCTTCCAAGCAAAGAGGGAGTAAGAGTTTGGGGTTAGGGTAAAGCATAAACACAGACTGGAATAAAAGGAACCGGGAATGATTCAAAGGTTCAAAGAAAACTCTGGCTGTGTGATAGGAATGACAAATAATTGTAGCAATAATTCTTAAAGTGGCTTTTACATTTTAATTAGTATTGCCCTTCCTAGAAATATTTAAGAATAATACTTTAAATGTCAGTATGCTTTATTGCAGCAATAAATGTGTAACTTTTTATAACTGCTATTGTCTTTAGTTTTATTATACAGATAGTGTACATTTGCTGCATATAATTTGAAAATGCAAGAACATATAAATCAGTAAACATATTTCATCCAAATGCCCCTACTTAGAGATAACCAGTGTTAATACATTCATCTCTTCTTTATGCATTTGTTTCTACACAGTTAAAATCATATCGTTTATATATGTGTAAATATATTTGCCTCTCAAATTTCTTTTGCTAACCATCTTTGTATTAATTTGCTTATTTTTCATCATTCACTGCCTGTTTTCTTTCCTTCAGGTAATAGAACTCTGACATTGTTTTGGGATGAATTTAGGTATGACCAGAGCAAAGAAATAGTAAAAGATCTAGAGTACATCCAATACCAAAGAAGAAAAGCCATGGCCATCCCATTCATCATACAATGTGGTATGTACTGAATTCTATCCTAATTAGCAAATACTCATGGTTTCCTAGATGTTCAAGTCATGCTGACAAGAAATGAGGGATAAAGAGTCGAATGTGTTGGTGTATGCCTTTAATCCCAGCGCTTGGGAGGCAGTAATAGGCAGATCTTTGTGAGATCGAGGCCAGCCTTGTCTACATAGCGAATTCAGGCCACTTGGGGCTATAGGAAGACCCTGTCTCAGAAAAAAACTAAAAAAAGGTGAATATGGGAGACAAAACTGGGTAAGATGTGGTGTTTGCTTTTAAGGAGGTTATAGTCTAGGAAAGAGTTTCACATAATTACAGCAGAGGTCAAGTTAGGTAAGTAAAGGATTAGAGGCACAGATCAGAGAAGAAGAGTGGGGAAAGAGGTGAGACCTCATAGCAGTAGTAGCACGTGAGATAGTCGTCACTGCAGAATTTGGGAGCAGGGAGAAAGTGTGTGGACTGACAGCAGGGGTGTACCTCACTTAAATTATTTGGCAGAGAAATATTTAAACAGCCATTTTTCTACTTTAATATGTAACACTGTGTCTAAGACTAATAGAAATTTTGTAATTAATCACCAAATGAATAAGTAAATAATGAGAGATAAAAAATGATTTTTTAGGTAAACACCTTAGAAAACCTTGAAATGGAGGGTGCAGTTTTGCTTTGACAAGCAGTAGGGAGGTATTGGAAAGTTTTGAGTAGAAGGATAGCAGCAGTGGTCACTGAGCACTTGAAAGGTTTTCTAGCCACTGTGAAAAGGACTTTGGAATTTAGGACAGTCCACTTTCTACAACCAACAGCCCAGGGGATAAGACAGAGGCCTGGAGAGCACCTCTCCATCCTCTCTCCTGGGGCTGCTCCAGGAAGGATCGATGAGTTAGATGTAACTTGTAGTAAGGCAGCTCCATGAAGGATGACTTGGTACAGAGTCAGAATGAAGGGAAGGTCAAACCTGTGACCAATACAGGCTGTTGTAATAGAAGACCCAAGGGAGAAGTGCAAGGGCCTAAACTAATGTGTTTCAGTGTGATTTGATTAAAGGACTTTTGACATATTTAGAAGTGCAGTTGAGGTAACTGTTGACAGTATGTGACAGCCTGTCAGGTGACAATCATAATGGCTAATAATTACTGTCTATCTCTGATGAATACCAAGTCCTTTAGACTGTAACTTCCAGTCGTCTACAGTAGGGCTGTATGGAGCAAAGAAAATCATTTTGACCCCTCTGAGGCTTAATTTCCTGTATAGAAAATGATGCTAAAATTTATAGTTACCTCATAAAGTTATTAACATAATCTGATTTAGTTAAGCATGAAGTTTGCTAAATGCTTAGGATAATGTCCAGTCATGTTGGCTTTTATCATCATTATTGCTATGAAGCCCTTTCGTCCTCAGTACCTCCTTCCATAAATTCTAGTAGTAATCTCTTTTTCTTACAGATGATAGTACTAAAACAAGTAATTTTCCCATAAGAGGTAGAGCTCTTCAGATTCTTATCCTCTGTGCAAGCTGTTTCTGCCTCAGGAGTGTACAAACTATTTACCTCTGTGTCAAGAAGGGATCTAGGATTAAACTCAGATGTAGCCTAAAGACAGCTCTGTGCCTTGGGCCTAAAGGCAAGGAGGGATGGTAGGGGAAGCACACAAGGAAAATCAATGTGAAATAACAGGAGAGGAGACTGCAGAGGAAGTGTATAAATGACTTCTGGATCTGAATTTCTTTCTGTGAGTCCTGTGGTTGAACTCAGAAAGTGGGGCAGATGGTAATAGTCTGGAGAGAAGGAGGTCAGGGCACTGAAATTCCTAATGTGGCTTAGCGAGAGGGACAGTAAGCTCTGTTAAGGTCCTTTTGGTTAAAAATAGCAGGAGCCAGTTTGGAGGGAGCTGAAGCAATAATGATAATAATTGCACATTTTGGTGAGTTCCTCAAGAAGCTCATAGGATCCTGGATGAGGTGGGCCATGAAGCATAGTGCTGTGTGAAGAAGGGTTTGCTGCTTTTGCTACATGCAAACTGATATCTTTTTATAATGAAATCATTTCTGAGCATGGTCTCTTTCGTGCGTTTTGTTTTGATTCTCAGATCTTTGTCTCAAATGGAGAGTCTTGCCCTCCTCTTCTACTTACCAGGAAAAAGAATCTCTTGACATGTGGATTTGTGCTAATAATCCCAACCACTTGGAAAACAGGTAGTTTTGATCATTTTCTAAAAGTTCTTTATTAATTTTACATTCCTAACGTACTGCCTCTGAAACTTGAAAATGATGAGCCATAGACGGTTTTCAGCTTACTAGCTGGTTTCATTTTAAACTCTTTATAGCCCATTGAAACCTGTGAAGGCATTATTTTGTTCAAGTACTTTCCATCAAATAAAGAGATCTGATGTAACAGAGTGCAGACACTAGGGTGGGTGTGCAGCTCTGCCCTTCACTGGCAGGAAGCCGCAGCCTTCTGAGCTGTCTTCCCATTCATTTTCACACAGCACACAGCCTGATCATACAGGAATATTAGTCAGAGGGCATATCCAGGGGCACTAAACTGTTAGAAAGCGTGCTTTTTTTCTGTTTAAGTCCTATATTGATTTCATTGCTTTATGTGCTAGAGGAAGAAGTTCAGACTAAACCAGGAAAAGAGCTGATTAAATATTGATGGCTGTCAATGTTCTTACAAGCCCCTTTAGACTAATATTCTTTCCCTAGAGAAGGAGTTAGTATTCCTCTTTAACAGAGGCACCCTAACCCATGCATTGCTTTTCTGTTCATTCTCTTCTAAGACCGCTGGGCTGGTGGGTAAGTAGATCAGTATTGCTAATATGGACATTAGGGTAATAATTCTTGTTGGGTTATTTTCATCCAGCTCCAAAAACAGCAGCAAAACTAAAAAAGCAAAAAACAAAGAGAAGAAGAAAATCATCAGCAACTGCCTTTCTGACTGGAGTCTCCAGGTTAATTGTATTTAGAGACTAAAGAAAAATGTCGGTTGAAGTGCTCTTCACTTTCTCACCGCCCGGGGATTTTTTTGCTCTCTCTTTCTTGTTTGGCACAGCAGCCTGTGTTTTTCTAAACTAAAAACTGTCACAAAACCAAAATTCATAAAAGAGATAAATGATAAATGTACTGTCCTGATTGAATTAGAGGCTAGAAACCTAGGGACCAAAGACAGCCACTTTCCATTTACTATTTTCCACAAAAAATATGGAGCTCCAAGAAGCATGATTATAAAACACTGATCTGGTCTCACATCTCACTTTGGGAAAGTCAGAATTGAAGCCCTAATCTATACTAAGAAACCAATGCATAAGCCACTGGCCAAGAGCTTCCAGAGAACCTTGTTCCATGTCTCAATCTAGCTTAAATATCATCTAAATTGTGACAAAACATTAGTTCAGTTTCAATTGGAAGAAGAGTTATCATTATTCATCGCTTACCATGATCCTGGAACTTTTTCTATGGGCTGTGCCACTGTTTAGAATCCACACTCTGGGCCAGACTACACGAGTTTGTCCTTGGCCCTACTAACTGTAAGACATGGGACAAGTGAAATAAACTGCCTTTAAAAGTCTCCAGACCCTAGAATGGGGCATAATAATAGGATCTCGAAGTATTTTCGTGCATTCATCCAGTCCCCTTATCAGGACAATTTGCTGACAGTTCCTAATCTCTGGGGCGGGGTAGGGGTCCCCCTGATAACAAGCTACCAGATATTAGGCCACAGACCATCTACCTGTGATTTCTCAGTCCAGTAGTGGGCATCATCAGCCCCACAGGCCTGGGAAGCTGTCCTTCCCAGCTTTATTAATTTTCAGTTTTCTGAATGACCCCAAATTGGCATGCTCTTGCCGTCTTCCCTGAGTAACTAGTGATGCTGCCACAGAGCATTGTAGAATAGTATTCCAAACTACATTAATTTTGTCTGTTTTACACATCCAAATAATACCACTTGCAGTGGGAGGCAAGCTAAATTTAGTTGTATTGACAGAAAACTGATGGGCCTTGAAAATTTAAACTGCAAAAAGTGTTTCTATTTATAATTTCCTGAAGTCCTTGATTCTTTAAATACACAGACATAATATTGACCATCTGTATTTCATTTCCACTGAAAAGATTGTAATAAAATATGCATAAGACAGCAGCAGGAGGCTTCAGAAGATGTTAAGGAAAGCTCCTGATTTCAAGGGCAGCTAATTGAGAGCTGGCACTTTCTGCTTGGGGAGCTCATGCCCAGTGGTATAGACATGATGATTCACCAGGGGACTAGAAATCCATTCTGTGACCTCACTTATCATCTCATTCAACATTGTAGTCTCGGGCATGACTTCCTAAAAAGCAGGCCTTGAAATTTTCCCTGAAATATAAGCACTGTTAGGTTTAGATAGAAATGATGAGAACATGGTTGTGTGTTAAGGAATGTCTGTGAGTGCATAAGGTAAGATGTTCCATTGACTATATTTGCAGGGAATACAGTTAGTGATCAGCAGTCTCTAGCCAGTTGTCAGTGCCAGTGAGCAGCATTCAGATGGATAGTGTCTGTATAACCAGAACTTAGGCCAGAAACACCATAGCTTTTCCTTTTATAGCAATTGTGTGTTATACCATTTCATGTTTGCAAAAGCTCTGTGAAATCATGCCATCTCTCAGGGGAGAAAGCATAAAGATTCAGAAGGCTTCAGTAACTTGCCAGGGATTACTCCTTAGAGCTGAACCTGAAGCCAGGAATCTGGTGCAAAACCTGTTTTGTCAGAGGCATCCTGTGACATGCCAGGAAGCCCCATTCTGGTTACATACATTTTAGTAATCAAAATACTCTATTTTACAAATGGTAGTGTTCAGGGTCAGTAACCTGGACAGGGTAAAATGGAGCCAGTCTTGTTCAGATTACTGAAGTCTTGTATGTTTTCCAGTTTGAGCACAGAAGGAAACTACATTTTTGTCACAGTTGCTGAGAAATAGGTATCAGTACAATCCCATTATATTCATGATATGCATTCATCTGCATTGAAAGCAGAAATCACCAGCAGGGTGATAATCATACCTGCTACTTGGCTGAACCAAAAACATAGGAATTTTGGAAAGGATGTAAAATATCTAGGGGTTATATTGCATATTAAAATTTATTTTCAAAAATATTTAAAGGAAGACAATCAAATGTGCTTCATTTTTACAAAATACTTAGTTTATTTTTCCCAAATATAAACAACATTGTTGTGAGGTTCTTTCTCAAATGAAATAGAATCATGTAGGCACCACCCCACAGATGTCTTCAAATCCCACAGTTGGTGGCTGTACATATAGAGTAGTCCTCCCTGGGATTTGTTTACCTAGTACTGTTCTTTGAGAATAATGATTATAGCAAACACCACGTGTGGGTAAAATCAAGTGTTTTTTCACAGTACTGCTTGAATTTGATGGTAGTACCTCACTTTCTTTGCTGGGAAAAATACATATTGAAACCTTGAACAGCAAAGAATTGGTGATTCCAGTCCTCTTTATGTTTCTTCCCTGCTTCCAACCTGTGGAGCCCCTCTGCATTCTCAACCTCCTCCTCCCTCTTGGGAGCAAACCCAATTGCATGTGCTTTCTGCAAACTTTGACCCTTCCTCCTCGTTTTTGGTGACTGACTGGAATTCTCTCCCTCCTTCTACCTATCAATAATAGAAAACTGGTTGACGTAGAGAAGACCCAAAGAAATGATCTCAGTATTTTATAACACTGCTGTACACCCCACCATGTCCTGAATAAGAGTTGTGATTCAACTTCTTTTCTGCATCAAGCTTTGCAAACTTTCTTTTTCTTTTTTTTTTTTAAAGCACAAATGGGGTCAGGCTTTCCAAAATAAAGGCTTAGTTTTGTGTAACCATAATGAGAATTGTTCATGATTATATAATACACAAGGCTAGGAGCTAGAATGACTGCCAAATTCAGATACTCTGATGGCAGCAGGCCATTTGGAAAAGATGCATCAGTCAGGGTCATGTGGATCTATGTAGGGAGGCTGTGTGCAAGCCTCTGTAACCCCAGGCATGACATGATTGTCACTGTTCTTGGCAAGTCCAATAAGAGATTCATGTGTTTCAGAGGAAGAATTAGTTGATATATTTTTTAAGTGATGCATAGATTTCTACACCAAATTTTGTGGAGGAAAACCTCTGTCTAATGAAATACACCTTGATGATCCAAAAAACTTTTTTGCAAAAGACTCAGTTTATGATAATGTTAAGTGAACAATTAGCAAAATAATTAATACTTTCCCATCCTCATAAATAAGTGTGCCCTACACATTTCCTCTGTAGCTTTTGTCTTGTCACCTGGGCATTTAAGATTGTGTATTACTCTAAAGTCATAAAATCTTGCTTTGTATTTGAGTTTTGTGTGTATCACAGAAAATAGAGGATTTTGTAAAAATCACATTTTATAGGCAGCAAATGCCTTTACATTTCCTCTTGACGTTAATCTTCTGCTTGTTGGTTGTGAAGTTGTGATCAGATAGAACGCCTGCCTTCTATCCCACTGGGCACCATGAACAGAGCAGCAGCATCAAAAAATGAGAAAGACAGGCGCCTTCAGGAGTCAGTCCAAAGGTATCAGAACAGACTGGCAGACCTGCCACCACAGGTGAGCTCATAGTAATCTTTACTTCCATGTTCAACCGCGACTCTTAGGCTGTTGATTTCCTATATGCAAATTCAATAATATGGTTTTCTCAAGCAAAATGTATAGCCTCGTTTTTGTTCTGTTTTGCCATTTCCTGTTAATTTTGATTCTAAGAACTATTTTAGAAGGTGAGGACAGAGAAGGGGAAAACATTCCATAAAAATATCTGCATCTGTGATATCTAAGCCCATCTGCACACAAAGCACATGAGAGCAAGAGCATTTGTTTCTATTCCACAGTTGTACTCAGAGCTTGTCTTAGGGCACGTGCTCAAGGTAGGGACACCATGGTGCATGACTGCAAGGACTACGCCATGGTTTTTGTTGTTGTTTTGTTTTCCCCATTAGGCTTCTTTACTGAGGGTGGGCATTTTGTAAAGAATACTTTTTAAACAATACTGGCCTGCTAATATGGAAAGTTAAAATCATATTTAATTGCTAAGAAAACTCAATAAATGAAACATTACTATTAGTGAACAGGTAAGACAATTTCAGTAAAAGTGCTGTGGCATGTACATAATTGTTTGAGATAATAATTGTTTATGCTAATAAAAGCATATTATTAATTGTAAAAAGCAAAGGCCTTCTTTCTGACATTTCCATGTTACCTGTCATGTTTGTCAATCATTTTGACTCCCTCTGTTGCTCTTTATCTTAACTTACCTCTCCTCCTTTTTCCATTCCCCTTCCATATCTCTAG